AGGAACAGAGAAGAGGCAGTCAAAGGATAGTGCAGTGACAAAGCAGAGTTCTAGTTCCTGCTTAAGGGATATACATAATAATATATCTTTGACTTCTGCAGGAATTAAGACCCCCACCCAGGTGTAGGACAGGATGATGATGTTGATGTTGACTCTTCTTACTTCAGTCAACCAAGACTTGGACTCTCTGGACATTTGCCCCAATTTTATGCTGAATTCTACTTTACTTAAGACCCTTCTTGAATATGCATGTACCCTTAGCTTAAAACTTTCCCGGTTTGGCTGTTTGGGGAGGCACTGCTCTGGGAGAGATCTCTGGTGTTCTTCTTACTTGCTGTAAGTAATAATAAATCCTTCCTTCTCCCAATCTTTGGCTTGGTTGTGTCTATTGACTCGACACCCACCAAGAGGCAAACCCAGTTTTCCCGTAACAACTATGTTCAAGGAACCTACGGTCTATATTTATTTATTTATTTATTTATTTAACATCTTTATTGGAGTATAATTGCTTTACAATGGTGTGTTAGTTTCTGCTCTATAACAAAGTGAATCAGTTATACATATACGTATGTTCCCATATCTCTTCCCTCTTGCGTCTCCCTCCCTCCCACCCTCCCTATCCCACCCCTCCAGGCGGTCACAAAGCACCGGGCTGATCTCCCTGTGCCTATGGTCTATATTAAATACAGCAGAAGTATGCCTGAAATGAGGATAGAAAGACAGTGATGGAGAATGATAGTGTGAAGGATGGGGATGGGGTGGGGGCGTGAGGGTTAGTATTTGAAGTGAGAGCAGCATAATGTCTGTGAACTATGGTTGAAGTGGTCACATCGTTTAAAAAAATCCTGGTGAGGTTATATTAAATTACATTTCAAGGGTACACTTTGAAGTATGTGAAAGCATCCCTGATGAAGCAAGAGATAATTTGATGTGGAGCTAGAGCTGATTCTAGGTGGTACATGGATCTGGCTTTAGACAATAATAAACTAAATGTTAAGAAAGTATTTCCTTTCTAATCCTATTTTAAAAATATATTTTAAAATATTTATATATTTATTTGTCTGTGCCGGGTCTTAGTTGCAGCACGTGGCATCTTCATTGCCACGTGTGGGATCTTCAGTTGTGGCATGTGGGATATTGCAGCACGTGGGATCTAGTTCCCTGACCAGGGATCGAACCTGGGCCCCCTGCATTGGGAGCGTGGAGACTTAGCCACTGGACCACCAGGGAAGTCCCCCTTTGTATTTTGAGCTGTAGGCTTATAGACAAACAGAAAGTCTCATTTACATGCTGCATGTCTTTATTTTTGTTTTTTGTTTTGGCTAACACTTGGTAAACAACACACTTACTTTTTTTTTTTTAAACAAAGGTTAAGCTCAGAAACTCAAGAGGTAGATTTCATCTGGAATTTATTTTTCTTGCATTTATTTTAGTGTATCCTTTTATTTATGGTTAGTGAGTTATATACAGTTTCTTTTCCAAATAAATTATTTAAACAAATTGAGTCGATATAAAGAAACATGATAAGCAGATTAGAACCAAGGTGGCACAAGGTTATGGCAAAATTGTGAAAGTAGTATGGAAGTGACGGAAGTTTAGTAAATAAGAGCACTATGCCTGGAATGAGAAAATCTGGGTTTGAGTCCCTGCAATACCACCAACTAGCTCTGTGACCTTGGGAAGTTCACCTAATCTCTCAGAACCTTAGTATTCTCATCTGTAAAATAGGAAGAAGAATCTCTACATGAACTTCTTTGCAAGCTTGTGAGAATCTGATGAAGGAAGGTGTAAAGTGTGAACAAATGTTGACTTTATATTATGTGAAGCTGCAGAGAGGCAACATGGCTTGATGGTGAGTGTGTCAGGATGGGGAGGGAGATTTGCCAACATTTACAGAGTACTTACTATGGGCAAAATGCTGTAGATTTTTGAAAGTAGAAAAATGAATTCAATTTGGCCTTAGCCCTCAGAGTTTACTGTTTGTCCATGGACTAACACATAGATGTGTATTATTCTGTAGACTGTGATACATTATGGCCCTTCCAAGGGCTAGGGAGTCTGTTAGGTACTTTGTCATACTAGCTCATAACTCAGGAACTGAGATCAGAGAGGCTAAATAATTGTTCCATGGTTAATCATGGTGATGTTCATGAATAAATATTTATTATATGCCCAGTCCTGTGCTAAATTCTCTTATACATTACTTCATTTAAGCCTTATCACAAGCCTGTGGGGTAAGTCCTATCTCCCTTTTAATGATAAGCAAACTAAGACTCACAGAGATCAAGAGGCTTGCGGTTAGTGAATGGTGCCGTTGCAGTTTAATCCTGGGGTGTCGTTTGATTGCAAAACCCATTTCTTCCAATTCTACGGCTTCCAATCAGTGGCTGAGTTGTGGGACTGAGGATGGCTGTGCACAAGGAAGGTCCATTCAGGGCTCTTGAAATGTTAGGTTCTAATCTCAGCTGGGCTTCTCTAAGTTTACTATGTCACAACTCCTCTTTTGTTTCGTAATATATGTCCCTAAACTCTTAAAGGACCAAGTCCTAGGACCATGTGAGTGGCTAATATGGCTGCATGCCACCATAAGGTGATATTGGTGAAGACATTTCAAAACCAGGCAGAAGAACTGGGTGAGAGGGCAAGGTAGGCTATCTACATCTAGTTTGCGGGGGCTAGAGGCTCTCTTTCCTGTGGGAACTTACAGAATCAATTCTTGGTAAATGCAAGGGGACCTTGTGCTAAATCCAATCTCCTCAATTTAGAAAGAGAAGTTAACGGCCAAAGGTCCCACAGCAGGCAGAGGAATGAGACCGCACAGCTCCCCTGTCTCAATGCTCATTTCCCAAGAGCAGTGGTTTTCAGTGTGCTCTCCAGATCAGCAGCCCTAGCACTACCTGGGAACTTGTTAGAAATGCCCACCTCAGAACCACAGAATCAGAGACGGTGGAGGTGGAGCTCAGCACTCTGTTTTAACAAGGCTTCCGAGTCGTTCTGATGCATGCTCAGGTTTGAGAATGACTGCAAAGTATCTGCTATATACTATACATCACATGGCAGGAAGAACAGTGGAGATTTGTCATCACATCCAAACCCCCAGAAATTCTTCTCCCTCTTTGTTCCCAGGAGGACTGAAGGGGCTCAGTGTAACAACCCCCCGAGATCCACAGAACACTGAGATATTTTAGACAGGGGGATGAACCTATGGAACAAACACTGGCCTGGGGTTGGCAGCCTGGGTGTGCTCCCAGGTAGCCAGAGACAGGTGCTGTCTGGCCATCAGTGTGTGGAGGAGAAGGGCTGGGACCTGGGATACCATCAGGCTTCCCCACCCCCAGTCCAACACAGACAGAGCAGCCAGGAGTCTAGAGAAGGCTCTTCTCCACACTGTCCCTCCGAGTCTGTGAGCCACGAGTTGGGCACGCTCAGAACCCTGCAGTGGATTTCCCAAAGGCAGGAGGCTGGAGGCCTGTGGAAGGAGGGCAGAGGACCAGAGCCGGTGGGATGCAAAGGTGTATGGAAGGCACCTGTGTGCCCCTGCTGACGATTTTTTGCTTTATGTTGAAGGGACGATAATATCTGAGGTGGGGAAATAATGGAAATTGATTTGCGCTTTAGCAGTATCTCTGGCAGCTGCATTACGGATGGATTGGCGGAGGCCAGAGACTTGTGGGCAGGCGGTTATCACGCTAAATCCGAGTGGGAAATGAAAGCTGTGTGTGGTGTGGGAACAGATTTCAGAGAATATGGATTGGGATATTTGGTTATGCCTGGGAGGCAAGGGAGGAGATAGCACCCACCGGGACTTAGTGAGTTGTAAACGTAGTGCCAAAGTCCTGGCTGCTGAAGTCCTGGAACCAGTCGGCTACAAGATCCTGAGGGCTGGATGATCTCCCCCGTTCCCGCCCCACCTTTTCCTCCTAACCCAAGGAACCTGGGCTTTGGAGTCCGGCAGATGAGAGTTCAAAATTCCCGCTGGGGCTTCCCTGGCAGCGCAGTGGTTGAGAGTTCGCCTGCCGATTCAGGGGACACGGGTTCGTGCCCCGGTCTGGGAGGATCCCACATGCCGCGGAGCGGCTGGGCCCGTGAGCCGTGGCCGCTGAGCCTGCGCGTCCGGAGCCTGTGCTCCGCAACGGGAGAGGCCGTAACAGTGAGAGGCCCGCGTACCGCAAAAAAAAAAAAAAATTCCCGCTGGAATGTAACTTCCACCGGGGCAGGATTCTATCTCTGGTTCGCAGCTATATGCTGAGGGACTAAAACAGTGCCTGGCACATAGTAGGGGCTCAAAAAACATTTGCTGAATGAATGAATCAATGAATGAATGGCCATACTCCAAGCCTACTCTCCTCCCTTGTGCATACCCTACTTGGAACGGTTGTTGCTGAAGGAAATCAACTAGCCTCGAACTTGACGCACAGTAGGCGCTCAACATGTTGTGTTTTTCCTTCCTCTCCACAGGAGACCGGGTCCCCAGGCGACCGCAAAAGGGGGTTTTTGTTCCTTGCCTCTTCTCCACCTCCCTTCGCCCCCGCGGGCCCCACGGGGTCATGGGGAGCGAGCGGGCCGGGGACGCGGGTGGGAGCGGAGCTACGAGGCGGGGAGAGGCGCGGGCGGACTGACAGGCGGCTAGCGCGGAGCCGTTCTCCCCGCTTACGTAAGGCGCGAGTCCCGCGCGGCCGGCCGGGGCTCCGAACGGGGGCGGGCGGAGGCGGCGCCGCCCAGCGGGATCCGGGCTCGAAGCCTTGCGGAGCGCCGCGTCCCGGCGGAGGTGTGTGTTTATTTGACTGCTCCGGGTGGAGAGGCGCGGAACTCCGGCTCCTTACAGCGGAGAGCGCATCCGTCAGCCCTCGGCGGAGGTGGGCGCTGGGCCGTCCGCGCGGGCGGCAGCCGCTGCGACTCCCCGGGAGGTGACAGCCGCCAGGAGGGGCCGAGGCGCGGACCAAACGCTGCCCACGTGCGGGGACCCGGGTTGGGGCTCAGCCCCCAGTTCTCCCGGGGCGTGGGCGACTGGAGGCGCGCCTGGAGTCACCGCCTAGCCCGGCCCCCCCACTCGGGGGAGGCTGGCGTGGGGATGCCCTACTCCCTCCTCGGACGGGGCGTGGGGCGCGAGGTTTAGGAAGGGATCGAGGTGGGGCGGGCCGGGTGGACCTCCAAGCACCTGACGGCTGCCCCCGCCAGGGGCGGGCGCTCGGACGTTCGCTAGAATCGCGGCGTGGGGCGAGGAGGGCGGGGAGGTGTAGCGTGGCGCTTACTCCGCCTTCTAGCCGCCCCGGCGCGGGGCGGAGGCGAGGGGGTTGTCTCAAAAGTCTCTCCTTCCCCTGCAGGGGCGGCGGCAAGTCCCCGCGCGAGCTCAGGGTGTCAGAGGCTGAGGCAGAAGAAGCAAAGTTCCCGGGGCTTCTTCGAGGCCGCTGTCCGGGTTGCCAGTTCGGCTTCCCCCTCCTCGCCAAGGCAATGGCTTCCAAACTCCTGCGCGCGGTCATCCTTGGGCCGCCCGGCTCGGGCAAGGGCACCGTGTGTCAGAGGATCGCCGAGAACTTTGGCCTCCAGCATCTCTCCAGCGGCCACTTCTTGCGGGAGAACATCAAGGCCAACACGGGTGAGGACGTGCGGAGGCGAGGGGCGGGGTGAGCCGACGCGGGATCGGGTGAGGCTGGGAGGCAAAGGCAAAGGGCCGGCGAGGGGCCGGGTCTCTTCGGTCCCCGGGCGCCCTTCCCCCGCCCGCGTGTGGTAGTGCAGGCTCCTACGTGCCGGGGCGCATGCAGCCGGTGGCCCGCGGCCGTGCGGCTTAACCGCGCCAGGGAGGAGGCCGAGGCTAGTTGGGAGGAGGGTGGGAGGTGCACGCGTCCCCTCTCTCCGCGCGGGCTGCTCTTGCCGTGGCGAGAAGCCGGTTACCACCCAGCTGAGGAGGGAGATCCAGGCAGCTGAAAGCCCCGAGCTTCCCTCTCGCCCAGCTTCCTTAAGGCTAAGACGTCCCCGTCCCTCGGCCGCCTCCTACCCCGTCTACCGCGTCCCTGGTGACCCGAAGCGTCCCCTTCTCTCGCCCGAGCCCCCCGGGCCGAGCGCCGCCCACCTGTGGGAGTCGGGCGGGGCCGCGCGCTGGGGAACCTGTGGCGCCGCGGGGCTCGCAGCCGCGCGCTGCTCCAGCCCCTCCGCGCCGCCTGGGACCTCTGGGCAGAGCCCTGGGTGGCTTTGAAAGGCCTGTCTGTTCCCTGCCGCCTTCTAAGGTAAACTCTCACCACTCACTCCCCCCTCCTCTCCAAGCCGGGGCCTGGCCGTTAGGAGACAAGGAGACTCGTTCTGATAAATTACATTTTGAATCCAGCTTCCCTGGAAATGGCTTCTTGAGAATGCCTCCTTTGGCTTGCGTGGTGAATTGGGGGCTATAGATCTCCTGCTCTCTTAGCCTTTCAGTACGGCCCTTCTCCCCTCTCCTCCCACCCCACGTTCACACCAGTTCATAATGAATTGGCGTTCAAAGGCGAGAGGTAGCTGTGGTGTGGTGCTCCTGCAAGGTATATATACGTGGCCCTTCTGGGATGCAGATGCTCACGATTAGCAACTTCTTTATGAAAACTTGTTATTGCAGACGGGGTGCTTCACTGTGGCTCCTTTCTCATCAGTGTCCTAGGTGGTTATGGCCTATTATGGGCTAATTATCCAGGGATCTTCATTACAGAAGCACAGATTAGTTTGGTGAGGTAGGTGGAGGACGGTGCTGGAAAACAGAAAGCCTGAAAGCGGGGAATTAAGATGTATCTCAAAGGCGGAGTTTTATTCATTATCTCTTAAGCAGGTTGTAAAAAAGCAAGCTTTTATTTTGATCTTCAAGAATCCTGTCACCCACCCTCAACATACACAAGTCCGAGTTCTGTGTACCAGATTGCACCTGGAATTTTCTCTTGTGGGTATTGTTACCACGATTGGGTCTATTTTAATTTTAATACCACATTCAAATGCATTTTATTCCTTCCGTGTTTGGAATGCAGTTTGGGCAGGGGTGAGAACTCTGTGAGAGGGAAGGCTGGCTCTCTACCCAAGCGTTTTGTGGCCAGGTGGGGCTTCTCGTGGTAGGCATAATGAGGGGAGGAAACTGCTGGGTGGGAGCCCATTTTTCTGCATTCTCTATAGCAACTGACTTGGTAACTTGTTTCTTCTGGCATGAAGGGCTTCACACCATCCATCCTGGTTCTGGATTAGTGGCTCTTTCCATTTTTAAAGAGAATATGATGGGAAGTAGTTGATTTCTGCACTTTTTTAGGGGTTTTGAAAACTTTCCACTTGCTGTTTTCCTTTATTTTGTTCATTTTAACTTTCCTTTGTTCTGAATTTTAGTTTCCATTCTCTTTCAAATGCTTTATTTCCCTCCCAGTGTTTCTCCCTGGAGTAAGAAGTGACTCTGCAATGTTTAAATTATCTTTTTCTGTTGGAAATCAAGTAGTTTATGCATGAACAATTAAAAAGCTTTATCAGGGAAAGAAGAAGAAGAGGAGGAATAAAGGACAGTGATTCGTTTTGAAAGTGGCCTGTTTCTAGTGGACTTGGAGGGTGTTCTCAGATTATTTTTTCTCTCTCAGAAGGTCTAAGAGTCTTACCGGCTCATTGCCTGGTAAATAAGAAAACATTCCACAGCATTTATTTTTTCTGTTAGCTGCTGTTTGCTTTTCCCTAATTTCCCGGTAGAGAAGCACAAGGATCCCTCTGTAGGTACCCCTTTATAGTTGAAGGTTTGAAGGAGATGATGAAGCACAGCAAAACCCCAGGAAATAAAACCTTGGTAGGAATTTAAGTTGGAAAGTAGCTCAGGCCATCTGCTGCAGCCTGGATTGGGGCATACTCCTGTCCACGTGGTTTTCCTGCAGCCACTCCCTGGTGGCTTCTCCAGGGAAGGGCTGGCTACTCATTGCTTTTGGGCAGTCTTCCCTCACCTGCCCTGGCAGAATTCATCTCTTTCCTCTGCACATAGCCTGTGGATTCTGTTGCTGCAGTCACACACAGTTATGATGCAGTGCAGCAAATGCCTTCTGATTTATCCAGTAGAGACTTACTGAGTACCTGCTACATATCAGTGTTCTAGGGGCTGGGGGCTAGAGTGATATTTTTTCTACCTTTACCATGTTCCAGTTTCCACTGAGAGACTTAAAGGACAGGGATCTGACAAATTGCCTAATGCATAAAAGGAGTTCAACAAGTCTGATGAAGGCATGGGTCACGGATTCTATCTACATTTTTCCCAGAAAGAATCAAACAGCCTCTAGCGATCAAGTCCATTTTGCTTAATTAGCTCTATGATTTATGGTAAAAGTTTGTATTTACTGTGGATCTGAGATTAGCCTCATGATAGATGTCACCCGTTGGCTTTGCCTAGGCTGCCTGGAGTAGTGCAGGCTGAGACTTATCAAATACCTTATTTGAAGACCCACCCCCAAGTCTTTGGCTTACATTTTCTTTAGCAAGTGAGTGAGTAAATAGATGGGAGAGTTCTCTTAGTCTGCCAGAAGCAGGGTCCTACAGTCTGTCATAAAGAATATTAGCTTTCCTTGGGGCTTCCCTGGTGGCGCAGTGGTTAAGAATCCGCCTGCCAATGCAGGGGACATGGGTTTGAGCCCTGGTCCAGGAAGATCCCTCATGCCACGGAGCAGCTAAACCCGTGCATCACAACTACTGAGCATGCCTGCCACAGCTACTGAAGCCCGTGCGCCTAGAGCTGGTGCTCCTCAACAAGAGAAGCCACTGCAGTGAGAAGGCTGCGCACCGCAACGAAGAGTAGCCCCCGCTCACTGCAACTAGAGAAAGCCCGCACAGCAACGAAGACCCAAAGCAGCCAAAAATAAATACATTTATTAAAAAAAAAAGAATATTAGCTTTTCTCTATGTGTGTGTGCGTGTGTTGTTTGCAAACATATGCATGAGCCTGTGTGCGCGCGCGAGTGCATGCGCACACACAGGAACACACAGAGCTGGCACTCAGTAGTGAGTTCCATTAAAATTTATATTTAGCGGTACCTTCTTTTGTTGAGTGATGGGTGACTGAAACTTCCTTCTGAAGGGTGTGAGAATCCTGTTTTAAGGATTGTACTGGATCTACTATCTCAAGTGCAGGAAAACTGGAAAGTTTCCATTTGGAAGCATCCTGGACTTGAGAAAAGATGTTCAAGAACAAACCTGTTTCTGCTCTTAATATTAACTGCAGCTCTTGCTGAGGTTTGCAGATGGGACTGGCATTTCAAATTAGTCAATGGGCTGAGCCTCTCCTCTGAAAAGATGACCTAGTTCGGAGGGCTTAGGGTTTTTTTTGTTGTTTTTTTATACTCATTAAGTATAAATGTGTGTCTTTTCTTATGTAGGAATGAAAACGTCTGAGAATTGGAGAAGTATTAAAGAGACTAATGTTCAACAGTGTATCTAAAACAACTTTAAATAGTTCATCTTTTTGTAGATCATACAAAGTCTTGGCTTATTCTGCAATATCTGGAGTATGGTATATTCCTTTTTTTTTCTCCCCTAGCTTGGTGAGACTCGGAATGTAGCCCAGGTCAAGGGTCTGACCAGCCTGGAGGCATCTGTCCAGTCTACAGGTCCACTTCCACATCCCCCTATTTTTTATGGTTTCTTTGTCTGAGGGTTTTCACGTGTACTTCGGGAGAACTATTTGACTTGAATAAGGTGGCCCATGACAATAAGACTAACTTTGTCACATTCGCAGCTGAATCTGAGCATCCTTCCGGTGTGGTCATTTTTTAAAGTAGCTTTTTCTGATCAAAGTCACGCCTTGTAGAAAATTTGGAAAATGTGAAGCTGTGGAAGAAACTGAAAAGGCAAGTGAAAATTACCCACAATTCCCCCCCAACACTTGGAAATTCCAACAGAAGTTATTTTACTTTTTTTCTTTTCTGTGTATTTGCTCCACTACCCCCAACAAACTTGGTGTCCTATTAGTTGATAACCGTTTCCCCTCCCACTTAGATACGTATTGTAAGCATTTTCCTGTGTTCTTAACGCTTCTTCAAAAACATTTAAAATTTCTGTATTATAGTCCGTTCAGCAGATATTTTTTTGAGTATCTTTTGAGTACTCAGATATCCCTTTGTTCTTTTTTTTTTCTTCTTTTTTTGTCTGTGTCGGGTCTTCGTTGCTGCATGCAGGCTTTCTTCTAGTTGCAGCGAGCAGGGGCTACTCTTCATTGCAGTGTGCGGGCTTCTCATTGTCGTGGCTTCTCTTGTTGCAGATCACGGGCTCTAGGCACGCGGGCTTCAGTAGTTGTGGCTCGTAGGCTCAGTAGTTGTGGCTCACGGGCTCTAGAGCACAGGCTCAGAAGTTGTGGCGCACGGGCTTAGTTGCTCTGCGGCATGTGGGATCTTCCCAGACCAGGGCTCGAACCTGTGTCCCCTGCATCGGCAGGTGGATTCTTAACCCCTGCACCACCAGGGAAGTCCCTCCCTTTGTTCTTAGAGGTGAGAGTCCACAGCAAGGTGAGGGGATGCGGGCATGAGGAGACAGGAGATAGCACATATGGAATAAGCAGCATAGTATTTGATAAAGGTGCCTGTTACGAAGGAAATGAAAGGGTGATGAGTTAGTGATGAGGCTAAGATGATT